AAGAGGAAAAATATCTGTCTTCAACTAAAGATGTCAGTGAGACTGACGGCCGACTTCTCAACAGCAGCAGTGGAAAGCAGAGACAGTAGAACAAACCTTCCACATGCTGAACAAAAATAGATGTCAACCTACAAGTTTCCTAACAAAATTAATGTGTTGTTTAAGGAGATGGGGGAGAATTGGCTCCAGAAGGGTAGCTTGAGGGAAGACTGTTGGGAGAAATGAATGGTTTGTGTCTTGGCCGTAGGGGTGATAGTCAGAACTGTGCACCTGAGGGCACTTGCATAACTATACAGCAGAAATGCTGCATGAAAATTAAAATATTTTAATTTAAAAATGAAATTATAGTGTAGTATATCCATATGATATATTATCAGGTAACCATCTAAATTCTGCTTACAGAATGGTTTAAACTTGGGAAAATACTATGATAAAATGTTAAAAAATTAGGCAAGTAGGCTGGGACCAGCAGGTGGCATAGTGATTACATTTCTGGACTCCCACATAGTCAAGAGTGCTTCAAATCTTGGACCTAGCAGCTTAAAAGTCATGCCAGCCACATGTACATGCGTGCTCAGAATTCCAAGAGAACAGAGGAGGAGGGATTGCAACGTGGCCATTCCTGCCAGGGGGAGGGTAAGAGAACGATTTCTCACTTTCTGTCTCTCTGTCTCCCTCTGTCTCTCTGGTGAGCACACATGCCCTATATCAAAAAATCTCTCTTTTAAAAAAAAGGATTAGGCAAATGGAGACCTGAAGGCTAACTGCAGTTTGAGTCCCGCAACTGGCTGCTTGCTTTCTCACTTTCCCTCTTCTGTCTCTCTCTGGTGAGTGCACATGCCCGGTAGCAAGATTTAAAAATCATCATCATAATAAAATTAAATAAATGATTCTTTTTTTAAAATTAGGCAAATTGGGACCAGTAGGTGGCATGGTGGCTAAGGTGCTGAACACTCCCACATGGCTGACCATGGTTCGAGTCCCAGACCTGGTGACTTGCTTTCTCACTTGTTCTTTCTCTCTCTCTGATCAAATTAAAATAAATGAAGGAATAAATCATTTTTTTAACTTAGGCAAATAGATATAAATATATAGCATAATTATTTTTTAAAAGGTTTATTTATTTTTAATTTTTTAAAGTTTCTTTCTTGAGAGAGACACAGAGAGAGAGAGAAGTACCCATGATGCAAACCACAACCTCCCCAAGCTTCCAGCCAGTCAGAGTCACAAGTACACCCACAGGCGTGCCCAGTATATGCAGATGAACCTGGGATTTGAACCCAGGGCCTCTCATATGGCTCCCCCATCATGTAGCAGTGCCCTACCAACTATACCATCATGGCTGGGCCGACTGCATTTTTAAAAACCATTTCCATTTTTATCTTTATTTTGTTTGAGGTTTTTGCCATAGGGCACATGCGCTCATCAGAGACAGAGAGAAACAGTGAGAGGGAAAGTGAGAAATCACCCCACCCCACCCCCCCAAGAGGCATGGCCATGCCTCAATCCTTTCTCTTCCATTCTCCTCCTGGGATTTTGGGCATGCATGCATATGTGTCTGGCATGATTTTCAAGTCACTGGTTCTAGGACACAAACTCTGGCTAGAGTCCAGCATGTTAACAACTACACAACCTGCTGGCCCCTAAAGACCATTTTTAAAAGGCAGACAAATTATAATCTATTCCCAGTGACAGCAAAGGTTGCCTTTGGATGAGTGTTTTTTTTTTTTTTTTTTTTTTAAAGAATTTAATTTCACCCGTAGGGTTAGATGTAGATACCACAAGAGTTAGAAAGCACTATGTTTTTTGTTTTTTGTTTTTTTTTTTGAGAGGTTTTCGCTATAGGGCGCGTGCGCTCGCCAGACAGACAGAGAGAGACATAGAGACAGAAAGCGAGAAATCACCCCCCAGGGGGGATGGTCACGCCGCAATCCCTTCTCCTCCATTCTCCTCTCGGGATCCTGGGCACGCACGCACACGCGCCCGGCGTGAGATTTAAGCCACCGGGTCCGAGACGCGAACCACGGTCGGCTACGTGGGAGTCCAGCGACATAGCCATTACGCTAACTGCTGGTTCCCGCCTTTGGATGAGTTTTGTGTTTTGGGTTTTTTTTTTTTTTTTTTTTTCAAATTCTTACATACTTTCCAAATTTTCTGCAATAAACCACACTACTCTTACAATTGCTGCTCCCCAAATAAGAAGGAACTATTACAACGGAATGCACTTTTTAAAGAATAAGCAGGCAAAAGGACTGTTGAGGGCCTTGTGAATCTGGAGCTGATGGGGATGAGTTTTGTGTTTTGGGTTTTTTTTTTTTTTTTTTTTTCAAATTCTTACATACTTTCCAAATTTTCTGCAATAAACCACACTACTCTTACAATTGCTGCTCCCCAAATAAGAAGGAACTATTACAACGGAATGCACTTTTTAAAGAATAAGCAGGCAAAAGGACTGTTGAGGGCCTTGTGAATCTGGAGCTGATGGGGTCACCTACTTCTGTATCTGGCCCTCTATCTTGAACAGCGTCAGGATAACCTCATCGGTGTAGGACTGGGCCAGCAGGTGCAGGATCTTCTGGATGGTCTTCTGGGCCGTGTCTTCAGTGATGCTGTTCATATGGTAGTAAATGTACTGGATGATTTCTGGAACCTGAAAGGAGGGGAAAGGAGGTTCTTTCTGGACACTCACCACCAACTCACCAGGAGTGTTGTAACCAGGTGTCCACCTAACACGTGTGGTCGTGTATGGCACATATGTAGATGAACAAGATAGAAGAAGTCACTTCCCCTACACTCTGTCCTAGTCAGACCACACCACAGGACTGTGGGCTGTCTTAGCCCCCTTATTTTATTTTTAGTTTATTGGGTGCATATGCTCAACAGAGAGAGAGAGAGATGGAGAAAAGGAAATTGAGAAATCACTCTCTGGGAGGAGATGGCCACACCACAATTCCTTCCCCTCCACATCCTCTGAGGATCTTGGGCATGCTCACACCTGTGCTCAGCATGTTTTTCAGGCCACTGGGTCCAGGACTCAAAACACTCAGTCACGTGGGATCTAGCCCTCCCAACCTCCATGCCATCTGCTGGACTGGTTCCCATAGTTTATAAGAAATAAAATAGAGAACAGAGAAAGGGGTGACCAGAACCATGTCTGGAAGCCATGTCATAAAGTGAGAATGCGTAACTTGGAGAAAAGAAGATGGAGGTACAGGCTTGTCGCCTCTGAGCATCTACATTCCTATGGAAAGAGGGAAAGTTGGTCCTGTTTACTTTAAGGAAGACCCTTAAATTGACATTAAACTGGGACCAGCAGATGGTATAATGGTTACATCACTGGACTTCCATGTAGTAGACCATGGTTCAAGTCCCGGACCTGGCAGCTTAAAACTCTCACTAGGTGCATGTGCATGCACGCCTAAAATCCCAAGAGAAAAATGGGGAAGGGACTGCGGTGTGACCATCCTCCCTGGGGAGTGGTTTCTTGCTTTCTGTCTCTCTGTCTCTGTCTCTCTGGTGAGTGTGTGCACCCTATTAAAAGAAAAAAATTGACATCAAACCCTGAAGCCCCCAGAGCAGCTACCTTCCCAATTTCAGGAATAGTGTACTTCAGGATCATCTTTAACACCTTGGAAGCTGCACAAACGTCATGCCTGCTGCTGCTGGTCATGGCCTCCATGGCCACCATGATCACGTCTGCCCTCTCCTCGGGGGTCAGGTATTTCTTGAAGAACTAGAGAAAGAGGAACAGCAGCTGTCTCCACGCCGCAAGCATCCCACCCTGGGATTGCCCCAATGCCTCCAGCCTCCAATGAGCCTAGTCAGCAGGAGCCACGGAGGTAGTCCCAGCCATCCCCACCTCTTCTGTGGCACGAGGCTGAGTCCCAGCTGCCACCAAGTCTGACATGCCCAGGAAGGACCAATGGGCCAACCTTCAGACAGAGGACAATGTAAGAGGCATTTCATTTTGAATTAGGAAAGGAATTAAGTGAGAAATCTGAAGACGTTCCGATAGTGCATTTGCTCACGCCCAAGCCAAGTAGGACTGCTGGTCTGTAAGCAGATGTCCTCATGTGCCTAATCTACCCGTCCATGGCAAACGCAGTCACCCAGATGACAGGAAGTACCAACTCTGGTTCTGTCGCTAGGAGCAGGAACAACTGGGAACATGACACCCAACCTCTGTCCTCAGGGAACCTACCGCCAGGTCAGGGCAAGGGGAAAGGTAGTCACCGCCTGGTGTGAGAAAAGCCGGCAGGGAACACAGAAGCACTGAGCCCAACCCCTGAGTATTGGAGAAGGCTTTCTGGAGGCCATCCTGGGAGGTGAGGGAGAAAGGGCTCCATGCAGAGGGAACCGAGCCTGGGGACACCATACTAAGACAACCAGTACGCCTTTGCTGAACGAGTAAACCCGAAGCAGGGCCACAGACCACGGTACATGAGACCCTGTGGGCCAATGGGCTTGGCTGCTCGTCTCTGCGCAACTCTGAGAGCTCAAGCCTCAGTCGACTCCAGCGCGGCTGCCCCTCCAGCTTGCTGTCCTTGACACCTTGAACTGGGGAGACAAGCCTTGGGGGTGGGGCAGGGCTAAGACTCCTCTACGATTGGTCCTCAGCCCTCTTGGTTCCCTGCCGGCGCTCCCTGCCGGGCACCCCAGGCACCATGGAGATGAGGGTTACCAGTGTGAGATCCTGCATGCTGGCCAACCACTCCCCGCGGAAGTTCTTCTGTAGATCCCTCAGGATGATCTCCGTCTTATGCTTTTCACCTTCAATCCAAACGACAATCAAGGGACAACGGGAAAAAAGGAGTGCATGTTCCCTGTGTCCCTCCAAACCTCAAGGCAGACCGGCAGAGCTCAGCGGATGAAATGTTTGCCCAGCAGAATAGAGAGCCCCCAGCACCAGGCCGATGTGCGGGGGGGACTCAGTCCAGTGCACTCAGAGCTGCTGCTCCTGCACCACGCCACATGTGGGATGTTCCCATGCGTGGGTGCTGAGCAAACGCCCTGATGGGGCTGGCTCTGTAGCCTAGTGTTCAAGGGACGTGGATTTTACATGGCTGACTGCAGTTCAAATCCCAGCCCTGGTGACTTGAAAACATTCTGGACATGTGTGTATGCCCAAAATGGAGAAACAGAGAAAGGATTGCAGAAAAAGGACTGCGGCGTGACCACGCCTGTTAGGGGATACGTTCTCCCTCTCTCTGCCTGGTCTCCCTCTAGCAGGCATACATACTCTCTGGTAATTAAAATATACAAATAAATCATTGAAAGTTTTTAAAATGCCCTTCTGGGAGATACATCCCTATGAAATCACAGGAAGCTAGGGTTTTTGAAACTCCCTTGGGGGGTACTTGCAAATTCCCCTGCACGTCTACACCTGTGTGTAGCTGTCTGTCTGTGTCTTTGGTTTTCCTGCCTCAGAGAGGGGCTAGATCAGGGGTTCCCCAATTTGCTCCCTGAGAAAGGATGCGCGTTTTCCCAGTCACACTCAGCAGTAGGATCGTGATTATTGGGAATACTGGGATGTCCGTTACCCCATAGGTGGCTGCAAGTCTAGTACCCTCTTCTCCCAAGAACCTCTGAGAATCTCTTTAAAGGGGGGCACTGCACAGGCAACGGGGTTGGCGCTCATCCAGGTAAGTCCCAGACCTGCCCGCGATGGTCAGCCGGGCTCCCTGCTCGCAGGGCAGCACGTGTTTACTCTTCTTCCCCTGAGAGGAACCTGCCCTCAGGTGGGCTGCTCTTGTCATTCGCCATCCCCTCCGCTGAGCAGGCACCAGCCAGGCCCCTCCCGCGTACTTCTCTGGAGCACCAGGACTTTGAACAGGTAATGCAGTGCCTCTGACGCCCCTGTGCTGATCTCATTGTTGGGGTCCACGCAGAAGAGGCCCAAGATGCCCATCAGTTTCCCGCTCATGGAGAACTCTGCCATGTGCTGCCAGGAAGAGGATGCGGGTTACCCCTCCACCACCTGAGAGAGCCCCTCCCTGCCGTGCCCACACCCAGCTCCAACCTCCATCCTCCAGATCTAAGTGACCTGCACGAGTATCCCCTCACTTCACCAGCTCCACACTCTGCCCTGGCCAAGAAAAACCTATTACCAAAACAGCACGCAGGGAAATGGGCCAGCCAAGTCTCTGCACACACAGCTGGGGGAGCTGTGGACCCAGCCACAAGGCTAAGGTCCCCCACAAGGCTGAGGTGTCCAGCCGATCAGAGCCCACTGGAAACAAATAAAGTCAAGCCTTTCACCCCATCGGAGCAGAAAAGGCAGTCATCCAAGAAAGAGGGGTGCTCTGACCCTCCCACTCTCTAGTTATTCCCACAGAGCCATAGCCTAAGTCAGGTTCCCCACTGCAGAGAAGCAGGGCTGCTAGGCCAGCCTTTTCCCAACTCCAAGCACTCACTGACAACTCGGGGAAATTGCAAATGAATCTCAGCAGCCGGGAAATGGTGCCCAAGGCCCGCGTCTGTTCGTGCACTTTGTCTGACTGTAGCGACCAAGGTAAGATGATCTGGAAGGGAAGCAGAGGTCCATCAACACCTTCTACAGGAGCATGGCTCTCTTCCTTCCTTTGAGTCTACATGTCCAACTACCAGAAAGACCAGCAGGAGGGAGCCACGGCAGGCACTTGGCAAGCAGGGTGAGCTTGCAAGTCTCTGGCATCTCACCTATCAGCTTCTGCGTCTCTTTCTACAGGAATGTTTAAAGACAGGCAGCGCACCTTCACCTTCAAGGTAGACTGACAACACAGACAGCAAGGAGGGATAGGACACAGGGGGGAGATGGGGCTCTCTTGGTGGCATATTTGCACAAACCCCACCCAGCCAGGCCAAGGGCAGGGGCGAAGAGGTTTCTAAAGGATGAGATTCAGAGCCACTGATTTCTAGAGATTAAGAAGGCTAGTGGCAGGGCCAGCAGATTACATAATGGTTACAATGCTGAACTCCCACACGGCCAACCATGGTTTGAGTCCTGGACCTGATGGCCTGAAAGTCACTTGTACATGTCACTTGTACATGTGTGCCCAAAATCCCAGGAGGAAAATAGAGGAGAAGGGATTGTGGCATGGCCATCTCCCCTTACGGGTGATTTTTCACTGTCCCTCTCACTTTCTCTGTCTCTGGATCTCTCTCTCCAGCAAGTGCACACATCCTAAGACAAAAACCTCATTAAAAAAAAAAAAGAAAGAAACGAACAAACCAGGAAAGGGTAACAGTGGGTCAGCCAGTGGGTGCGGTGGTGAAGGCAGCTGAATCCCACAGGACCAACTATGGAGTCCAAGTTCCAGACCTGGTCATCTGAGAAACGCACCAAGTGCACGTGTATGCAGTCCTCCAGGCCCAAGAAGAGAATAGAAGAGAAGTGACAAGCGTAGTCATTTGCCCTGGGGTGCTTTCTCACTTCCCTTGCCTCTCTCTTCCCCCACCTCCAGAGAGTGCACGTGTCTTATGGCTAAACACCTACAATAATAATAAAAACAACAAAAAAAGACTACTTGGAAGACTCTAAAGATGGTTTCAGAAGCACTTTGCAATGCTTTGAGTCTCCTGTGGGTCCTGCATTCGGAATATGGAGTGCCCTGCATGGGCGAACCCTGGCGTCTTCTTTACCATAGGGCAGGGGCAGACCTCTCAATGGGGAGAATACTTTGAAGAAGACTGAAGTCTGACACGAGTATAAATGTTTCTGTTAAAGCCCAAGGCATCCAAGTTCTAGAAGGAAACAGGTCCTCAGCCTGGTGGCCATGGCTCTCGCAAAGCGATCTCAGGGTGACATCTCAGGAGAGACACAAGATGGGTCCGCCAGTGATGTGGGTGCACACCGAGGTTGGAGGTCCGGAGCAACACCTGGACTCTCTGAGCATTCCTTCCTCTTCTCCCCAAGCACACTGGCATGAATACAGGGTTTGGAGCTCCCTGATTCCCGCGGCCACTTACCTCCAGGAAGTCCTGCAGGATGAGCATGTTGGGCTTCAGCGCCTCCATCACAAGAGCTTGTAACATGTCATCAAGGGCCTGGATCGTCTGACGAGCGAGGAGACATGGCGTGTGCAGGACAGACTACCACAGAGCTTGCTTGGCCCTGGGAACATGCTCCATGCCTTAATCCCCTCTTCTGGAGGAAGGAAGGAGCGCTGACCTAGCTCTGCCACCCAGCACCCTCTCACACTGCCCCACACTCTGCCCTTCCCTGTTGCTGACCTCTGTTGGCCTCACTGAAGACAGTCCAGCCCAGCCCTGAGTGTAGACCAAAGGGTAAGACACAGGCATTGGGCCATTCTTTATTCTGTCACATTAAGGAAACTCCTGGTTTTAAAACCAAAAGTCCGTGGGAAGACCTGGCAGTCCCCTGGCTAGTTGTTCCACAGAATCTGTGGGTTTTATTATTAGACCGAGGCTATCATGGAACCAGAAAAACATGGTCCTTAATGAGCAAGGACATGGGTGAGGTGGCAGCATGTCCAGTCCCTGGGAAGACAGGAGAGAATGAGGGTGCCCAGGTTACTCTGAGCAATGTGTGGGGTCAGAGGGGGAGGAGGGCCCAAGAGCTAAGAGGACAGGAGGTGACCTCGAAGCCAAATTCTCCCCTGTGGAAATCTCTAGCAGGAGGCAATGGCGGGAGTTACCTGGATGTAGAGACTGGCACTGTCCTTCCGGTCTGGGCTAGGCATGATGAGAGGCAGGGGGAACATGCTGGAGATGCCAGCGTTCACCAGGTCCAGCTTCTGGGACAAGTGGAACGGTGGGTTCACCTGGCTGCAGGAGAGGTGAGGAATGACCGGGTCTTCCAGGTCCTTGTGAGAGGCAGGTTATGTCTCCAGGACCTGCTCTTCTGAGGCCCCAAACACCTTCCCACAGCCTCCTTGCTAGGCAGGGACGGTCATGGCTGCTAAGGAGGCTTCCCCATCTGGATGTCCTAAGAGGCTTCCAATAATGAAATTGGGGAACAATTACCCCACATTCCCACCACAATGCAGACAGACGAGTGGCAACCATGGGGTCACCCACTGCCCCCTAGCCTAGTCCCCAAATTTGCCCTTCCTCCCCATCCAATGTTCTCAGCATCAGAGACCCAGGGGCTCCGTGGGGGACAGTGGAAATGAACCTCAGGGCCACGGTGCAGAGCATGGCTTGCTGACGCACGCTGCTGGTCAGATTCTCCTTGGACTCCTCAAGGATTAATGCCTAGGAGGGCCAGGGAGAAAGGAGAATTCCCCTCAGAGAGAGGCCAGCCCTCAGGTCTAGGACTAGTCACCCTCTTCCCTGGATGCCCAGCTCCCAGCAGAGCTCAGGTCTTGCTCACCTTGATCCTGGTGGCTAGGATGGTTTTGGGAAAGAAGTTGTCCATGCTGCCCTCTGCCTGGGCATGCACGGCACCACTCAAGGTCTCCACAGCCCTCAGGAACTTCAGCTTGTTGAGCTCGCTCTGCAACACGATGCACAGATGCCTGCCATGAGCCCACCTCGGCCCTCGTCTGCCTGCGGGCAGCCCTGAGACCTGCACTCCACACCCACCCTCACACCCAGCCCGGACTCAGAGCAGCTCAGCCAATGGACCATTGCTCACTTGATTTCCTCAGCACGGTGGCCCTGTCCCCAGGACTGGGAAGTGTCAATTTGTCCTACCCACCTCTGCAGCCCTCTGGGAACGATGGAGCTGAGGACGGGAGGGAATGAAGTCAAGCCTTTGTACTAGAAGGAGCTGCAAGACTAAGTCCCAGGCTCCAAGCCCTGGGGCCTGGGGATGACCAGGGGTTTCCGGGTCCTTGTGAGAGGCCAGGTTATGTCAACTAAGACTGGACCAGGTCTGCAGGCCACAAGGGGCTGGGTTTCACGTGGCTTCTAAGCCAGGGCTAGTCCTCATAAACCCAGGAAGCATGAACTTTCTTGTATTTTCTCCCCCTTAGTTTTCAAAAAGTCTTAAGAATTTTCTTACCGCATGTTCTTGCTCGAGAAATTCCTGAATGAACTGATAGGCATCTCTTTCTGACTGGCGCAATCCTGAAGAGAGATGCAGTTGGGAGTTGAGCTGATTCCATCGGGTGGGGCAGAAAGACGGAGCCAGCTGCCCTGGGCCATGGCCTAGTGGAGCCCTCAGGAGCCTAAGAACAGCACTTGTGGGACTTGGTTGGAGGTTCCGCACCAGGTATGGCCAGGAAAGGAAGGACAGCTGGGATGAGAGACCTGTAAGCCACTTCAGGGCCACACGTTTCTGGGGCTGTCCCAAACTGGCTTTGGGAGTCCTGGTTGCAAATGCACTTGAAACCCCAAGTCAGCCTCAGGGCCTCCCTTGTCGACTGGGCGGATGCAGCCCTCGGGGGTGCAGGCACCCAGTGGAGACACACAGGCTGGCAGGAGCTTGGAGTACAGCCTGTCCATCCCAAGTGGAGTCGGGAGGGGACAAAACAAGAGGACAGCGATGACAGCCTGTCCATCCCAAGTGGAGTCGGGAGGGGACAAAACAAGAGGACAGCGATGGCGACAGTGCTGGGACCTGGGACCTGGGACCTGGCAGCAGGCCGGTGGACTGAGCTGTCAGCTCATGCTATGATTCACAGCAGGGCTCAAAACCGAAGCTCCGTGGTTAAACACAAAGGCTCCGGCATTGCACTGCCCTGATTCTAAGCTCAACTCTTCCTCTTCAGGAGCCCTGTGACATTGAGTAAGGTTCAGTTCCGTCATCTTAACATGGGGATGAGCCCCACAGTGCCTATCGTTGTTGCGGGTTTAAGTGAATATGAGTACATGTAAAAAGTTTAGACTCCTCCCTGACATGCAGGAGGAAATCAACAAACTCGTTCTCCAGCACATATTTACTGAGCACCTGCGATGACCAAAAGAGTCAAATCCTTGCTGTCGCAGAGCTTGCACCACAGGAGCTCCTTCACAGGGCCTGCCCTTACATATCCTTCTAAGGGAGGTCTTTGTGTTTGTGTTTGCCCGAAAAGGTTTGTAATACACACAGAGGTTAGAGAAAGTCTCCTTGACTGAATTTGAGTGTATGTGAAGGACATGAGAAGCCATTCACTGAGCTTTCTTTCTTTAAAATTTTTGCAATAGGTTGTGTGCATTCATGGGAGACAGACAGAAACAGAGAGAGGGAAACTGAAAAAGCATTCCCCGGGAGGGACGGCCACACCACAATCCTTTCTCCATGCTCCTCTCAGGATTTTGGGCACATGCGCACAAACATGCACCCAGTTTTTTTTTTTTTTTTTTGAGAGATTTTCACTGTAGGGCGCGTGAGCTCGCCAGACAGACAGAGAGAGACATAGAGACAGAAAGCGAGAAATCACCCCCCAGGGGGGATGGTCACACCGCAATCCCTTCTCCTCCATTCTCCTCTCGGGATCTTGGGCACGCACGCACACGCGCCCGGCGTGAGTTTTAAGCCACCGGGTCCGGGACACGAACCACGGTCGACTACGTGGGAGTCCAGCAACATAGCCATTACGCTAACTGCTGGTTCCCGCACCCAGTTATTTTTTAAGCAGCCTCCAAAGGCTCTCTTTTTAGCTCTTTCTCTCTCAGAAGAAATAAACTTTAAATAATTTTAAAATAAACAAAAAACTATGTATGGATTTTTAAATGTTTGTGCCAATGTAAATTCATATTTTATTTAACTTTATTTATTTATTTTTTTGGGAGAGTTTTTGTTTGTTTGTTTTGTTTTTTTGCTATAGGGTGCGTGCACTCGCCAGACAGACAGAGAGAGACAAAGAGATAGAAAGCGAGAAATCACCCCCCCAAGGGGATGGCCACGCTGCAATCCCTTCTCCTCCATTCTCCTCTCAGGATCTTGGGCACGCATGCACACCCGGCGTGAGTTTTGAGCCACCAGGTCCGGGACAGTCCAGCGACATAGCCATTACGCTAACTGCTGGTTCCACTTTATTTATTATTATTAATGTTATTTTAATTTGACCAGAGAGAGACAGGGAAAGCGAGGGAAAGCAGAAAGCAAGCCACAACATCTGTGACCCGAACCGCAGTCGACCTTGTGGGAGTCCAGCGCCTCTAAATACCACGCCACCTGCCGGCCCACTTATACTCATACTTTAATCCTATGTGTCCATGAACTTTCTGAACCGTCCTCATAGATGGCATCTACAGATCTGCTCTGGCTCTCCTGGGCAGCTGTCAGCATGGTGAGGTGTCACCTGAAGTCTCTGACAATGTGTCTCCCAGCCCAGCTCCAGGCTTCCGAAGGAGGCAGGCCCAAGAGGGGCCAGAGCACAGAGGGCAGAGCTATGAGCAGGCAGACACGTGTCTGTTCAGCCACAGTTCGAAGAGGGCCCGAGCACCGGCACCTCCCAGACCTGACAGCAGGTTGAGAAACAGCGCGGTCCATCACTCACCTAGGAAGCTGGACTTCCACGAGTCATTGTACTTTACTGTCATTGTTGAGGACTCAAAGGTCACTCTGTTCGATTTTTGCTCTTTAAGACGTAGATTCATCGGTACGCCCGGGGCAGCGGCCTGCAGCTTGTGGTCAGAATAGTAGCCGTGCTAGAGCGAGGTTGATCCCTAGAGGCGCGCTTCACCACTCCGGGAGCGACACTGCAGGAGGCAGCCCTGGCCGTTTATGAGCAGAGGAACTGGCTGAGTTCTGCTGGCCCCACTGTCAGCTCCCCACCCCACCTTCCTTGGGAAGACGGGGGACCCTCTGAAGGGCCCTGGTCCATCCTGCCTGGTCTGCCGTTTTCCATTCAGGGCTCTCTGCCTGGGGAAATCACAGACTAACCGGTGGGCCCCAGTGCACGGCATGCTTCCCTCTGCCCCTGGGGTCTTGCTGCTAAAATCCCAAAGCCCCATCTTCCTAGAGGGGCCACTTCTGCCCTCAGGAGGGAAGCTGGGAGCCCCCCCATACACACACACCATCTGCTCCCCTCAGATGTGGAGCCCTGCCTGAGGACGGGGGGG